GCCGGAAGCGTGAACGACTGGGTGATGCCGTGCTCCGCACAGTAGGCTGCCAAGAGGTCGGAGGAGAACTCACCACCTCTGTCAGAGTGCAGACGCAGGACAGGAAAGTCCGACCGGAACCGCTCGCGGAGCTGGAGACGAACAGCACGGATCCAGGGGATCAAAACAGCAGGGACATCCGCCTTGGTCCGCAAGGGGAAGACCGTGGTGTAACGCGTGTAGTCGTCGACAACCAGCAGGAAGTACCGCTCGTGGCCCTGTCCCTGGACGCGGGCTGGGCCCCACACGTCCAGGTGGAGCGTCTGCAGTGGAGCCTCTGTGGGAGGAAACGAGGAGGAGTGAGGAGCAGCGCGTTGCCGCCCCTCGACGCAAGGAATGCAGGGCGGCGCAGGCGAGGGAGGGAGGGCAGGCAGAGACCTGGGGAGACCAGAGACCAGGGAGCGAGAGTGCATGCTACGCAGGCGAGGCAAGGAGGGGTGACCAAGGCGGTGGTGCCACAGGAGAGTGTCGTGCGACAAAGCGCGACACTCGCAGGGGGCCGCCAGCTGACCAGACGCAGACGCAGACGCAGACGCAGCTACCTGAGGGGACTCAGTGGTCAGTGTGTACAGACTCGAGCCAGGTGCACGGGTGAACGTGGCCAAGTGTCGGCCCGTCCTAGCACACGTACAGTGAGTCACTCGCTGACTCGCAGGAGTGAACTGGTGAACCCCCCCATCCTGGAGGTCAGCTCCACTCACCAAGTTCGTAGAGAACGAGGGGAGGTAAAGACCTGACAGCGAGCCGGACGGGACGGCCGGACACGGCAGAACCGTGGAATAGTGGGCAAGGACTGGACCCCCAGAGGGGTCCGCCAGGGAGACCGGGACTGGCCGACGGAGCGGCGTGAGTGCGGTGCAGTCGCGAAAGAAGGAGCGGGAAGCTCCTGAGTCAAGGGTGAAGGTGTGCGAGACCGCAGTGGGCGCAGTACCAGAGAGAGCAGACACAGCAGCACCTGAAGCCACGGCCTCACCAGTACCTAGAGCAGTAGACGTACTAGCACCGAGAGCAGCAGCCTCACCAGCACCTAGAGCAGGAGACGCACTAGCACCTAGGGCAGCAGCCTCACCAGGGTCAGGCGGTACGCACAGGCAACAGGCACGGTCAGCACTAGTAGACAATGCATACATGGCAGTGAGAATAGCATCATAGTCACGCGCAAAGATATCTACCCCCTGTCCATGCAGCTCTAGCCAGGTGGGGAGCTCAGCCTCGTCGCCAAACACTGTGCGCCAGTCGTCGCTCAGACGGGCGAAGCAGCGGGACTGTGTGTGACCAAGTGTCCCACAAGGCTGACCAGTCCTAGCACCTGTGCGAATGACGTACGGGCAGCGAACTGTACGTGTAGACCTGCTACACTGAGCGTACCACTCCTGGAGCTGCCGAGGCGTAAGTGTCTCGCGTGGACGCCCCTGCAGCTGCAGCTGGCCACTGCTAGACGCTCCCAACTGACCAGCCCCAGGGCGACAGCTACGACGGCTACCGCGACAACCCCAGCTAGTATACCACTCACTAAGCTGCTGGGGCGTGAGAGGCTCGCGTGAACGTCGCTGGAGCTGCATCTGACCACCTGCCAGTATCATTAGCGCGGGCAGGGCAGGCGTGGCAGGCAGGCAGGCAAGCAGGCAGGCAGGCAGGAACGCAGGCAGGCAGGCAGGCCGGCAGGCAGCCAGGCAGCCAGGCAGGCAGGCAGGCAGGCAGGCAAGCAGACAGGCAGGCAGGCAGGCAGGCAGGCAGACAGACAGGCAGGCCGGCAGGCAGGCAGGCAGGCCGGCAGGCAGGCGCGCAGGCAGGCAGGCAGGCCGGCAGGCAGGCAGGCAGCCAGGCAGGCAGGCAGGCCGTCAGGCAGGCAGGCAGTCGCTCACCAAAGGCTGGGAGAGCAGGCGCTCACCGGGCGAGCATGGCCGGCGCTCGACAGCGGCGACGTCGGGGCCGCAACACCGGCTGAAGAGCAGGGCCGAAGCAGCTGCAGGGCGGGGCCGCTTCAGCGGCAGGAGCAGGGTGGGGCCGCGTCAGCGGCAGGTCGGGGCCGTGGCAGCTGCAGGGCGGGGCCGCATCAGCGGCAGGTCGGGGCCGTGGCAGCTGCGGGGCGGGGCCGCATCAGCGGCAGGTCGGGGCCGAGGCAGAGGGCCGCGCGCGGCTCGGCGCGGGCTGCGCGGACAGCGCGCGGAGCTGCTGCAGGCCGCGCGCGGCCGCGCTAGGTAGTAGCGGGCCGCGCGCGGCTCGGCGCGGGCTGTTGCGGGCCGCGCGCGGGCCGTGCGAGGCAGTAGCAGGCCGCGCGCGGCTCGGCGCGGGCTGCTGCGGGCCGCGCGCGGGCCTCGCGAGGCCGTAGCAGGCCGCGCGCGGCTCGACGCGGGCTGCGTGGGCTCGGCGCGGGCTGCGCGCGGCAGCTGCGAGCTGCGCGCGGCTCGGTGCGGGCTGCGCGCGGCTGCAGCGGGCTGTGCGCGGCTCGGTGCAGGCTGCGCGCGGCTGCAGCGGGCTGCGCGCGGCTCGGTGCGGGCTGCGCGTGGCTGCAGCGGGCTGCGCGCGACTCGGTGCGGGCTGCGCGGTTTCGGTGCGGGCAGCGCGCGGTAGCAGCGTGTTTGCGGGCCTGACAGGCGTGTAGAGGCGGCGCGCGGGCTTTACGGGCCTCTAGGGGCAGCGCGCTGGCCTAGGGCAGCAGGAGGCAGCGCTTGTGCAGCACGTCACAAGGCAAGGCAAGGCAGGCAGGTACGTGGGGTAGCGCGGTAACCGCAGCGGTAGGTGGGCCCGAAAAAAAAAACGGTCCTACGGACCTTAGTGCTCTGAAACCATGTTAGAATCTAGCAGCAGGAATGACTGAACTAACAGGATGCAGGAGTACAAGTAGTAAACCCTAATTGGGTTGTACCCCATATGGGCTACCCCACTACAGCCTAGACAATATGTAGCACATATAGTTTGACAGGGTACTCTATATGAGTCGTTTTAGTTATACCCCCCTTTTTTAGTGCAATCATTATAAGACCCCCCAATCCTTAGGAAGAATGTAGCATTTGTCATTTTTTTGTAATGAAATCGAAGCAATTTCGGAGAGAGAACTAAATTTCTCCCCTTCCAATGATTGTGCGTGTGTATCGCGCAGTCAACGTGGTCAAATTGTGCTCTTTTCGCCACTGCCAATGTGGTGATATCAGTGGCTAGAGTGATGCCACCTGGCAAAAACCCGAGGGTGGGGACATTCGCGCCCACATCCATATTCAACGCCGAGCTGCAAAGTGCAACTGACACAAACATACACAACAAACATGGATTCGTTCTATACATTCTTAAAATAATACCATGTATTAAGACCCGGGTCTTATACAACATGTGACATTTGTGTAGACCCCCCCCATTTTTTTGTGTGATTATGTTAAGACCCCCGGGTCTTATATCCGGGGGTTTACGGTACCAAGTGTTACGGGTGCAATGGATCGAGGTAGCGAGGATTGCACTAAGGTGTCAAACGAGTACAAAATGTGAGCGAAGGCATGAGCGAACATTTATACGCGAAACATGCAAACGGTAACGCGGTGCGTGCGAGCTAGCTAGTGCTACGCTGGCAGCGAGGCTCGGGCTAGTCCCGAAGCGGAGGCCGACACGGCCGGGCTAGCAGTGCATGGTTTGGTGAAACAGTGCGCGCGAAGTTGGCGAAGCCCCGTTAACAGTAACAGGCGAACAACAGCTGCTGCTGTACGCAATGTTGCAGGTCTCAGTAATGAATGGCGAGAAAATTCCTTACACGATTTCAACAACTTTGATTTTGGTTCAGATGGTTGTATTTATTGTGAATTTTAGCGTTGCGTGATTGTGGTGAAAAGTGTTCTTCGCATATCCAGCTTCAGCCCACCCTGTTGATTTGCTGCAGTGCGGACCAGACGGGTCTCGCGGCACCGCCACGCGAGGCTTGGGGGCGTTGATGGTTCGAGGCAGATTCTCAGCGCCCGAGCAAGCGAAGATACAAAATGATGAGGGTGGTCACTCTCATCTACCGACCTTTTCCGCAGGTAACCAATGCTACAAAAATCACATCATATCTCCAAGGAACCAGAAGTACGGCCAATAGTTTGGCTTATTAAGGGACTTCAGTGGAGGCGGGAGCTTTTGCTAAGAGGCTGTTGGCACCGCCAGCCTATTGGAGTCCGTGCTTTTCAAGCTACCCGACAGGGAAACCCCTTTCCCCTCCCATACGCGCCCCGATGCCGCGATCACTTGACTGATTTGCTTGCTTCTCAGTCGAGCCCCACATTTTCAGGCACCACAGCGTAGCACCCGCTCATATCAACTTCTCTTCTCCCCTCAGATCTTCCATTCCAATCCAACCAAAACCAACCATGACTAGCAGAATCAGCTGGTGGCATTGGCTGACTAGGTCGCTCGCAACATAACGTTTCAGGGTCAGCAGCAGCAACGGCATCTTGAATGTTTCATTCAAGTCGATGCGATGAAACGGATGTACCGTATTTCTCATGCAGTTTCCCTGCTGCTCATCCTGCTACGCCTCCTTGCCCATGGCCGCTCGACGCGTGGCATTCAGACCATCAGGAATACTTTCAAGTCCAGGACTCGGCTTATTCTCCTTCCAAATAACTCCTTCGGCGGAAGGTGCCTCGACGGAAGGTGTGTGCTGCTTTGCCAGTGTCATTTCAAACCACAGGCTAACCCGATTCGGATGCGGATCTGGGAACGAACTACCAAGGGAGCCGCCGGGGTGCATGATACAACATTTCCGTCGCGATCAGGATCTGCCAGGTGTGCGCCGCGCTCGATTTGAAGCCTCTCATCTGCCCTGACGATATCCGGTTGCGATATCTGCGATGCGCCGCTCTCCGCGATACGAGCGGTATCGTCTGTGCCGTCAACTCGAGTCGAATGCGCGTGCAGTCAATGCAGAACCCTTGACTACGAAGCCTCGTGTTACTCAGCCCGGCGGCAGGGCTCCGACACAACCGTCCCCCGACATGTGTTATTCAGCCCTACATTTTTCCCACGCGGATCACACGGAATCAGCCTCGATTCGAATGACAAGCGGGACCTCTTCCCAGGAGAACCCAGTCACATCGGGAGTGTGTCAAGAGTGATACTGTTAGCCATCCACATACATAGCCCTTGTCGAAAAAAAATCCAGTTGTTGTTATGCCACATGTGTTCCTAAGCCCTCGAGATCCAACCATCCCCGCCGCCACATCGCCCCATGCCGTCTCCTCCCCTCTCATCTCTCCATCCCTTCTCCCTCTTCCTACAGCCCGCCAGGGTACTACTATCGGCCGGGGACGGGCGCGGGGCGGCTGAGGTGGCACATTCACCTTTTGGGGGGTGGGTGGTGCGCGTCGGAGGGGGAATGCGTCAACCGAACGCTCACTAGCGTTGGCTCGTCCAAGAATTGGGCCGCCGATCCCGAGTTGCGCAAGGTATGCCACGGGAAGTCCGCCGTCTTGGTTAGTTTCGGTGCTCTTTTGCGCTCATGCTAGCAGTGATGGAAACGGGAGGTGGTAGGGAGATGGGAGGAAGCCTCAGAATAGTCAGGCAATGGTAGCCAAGTATTCGTCTCCCCACCACCCCCTGCCCTTGTTTTCTCCCCTCTTCCATCGCATGGATATTTCGTCCCCTCTCGCCCTTCTCCCACCGACTCTTCCTTTTCCTCCCGTCCCGCTCCACTCCCCTCTCGCCCGCTACACCCACCTTCCCTCTTCCCTTCCCCTCCCCCGCGCGCCCCGCCGGTCCCCGCGACCAGGGAGATCAACACGCGCCTAAGATGCGCGGAATACTGTCGGAGAGGAGGCGCAGCAACCCCGCGTTCCACTCGTGGAACCTCGTCGTCATGCTCTACTGCGATGGCGGCGGGTACATGAGCATACGCGGCCCTGTGCGCGTGCCCGTCGGACCCGGGAAGCAGCGCATGATTCACATGCAGGGGTGGAACAACGTACAGGCGGTGATGCATGGTGCGTGCCGCTGCTCATGCAGGCCGTGGTCTGCGGCGGGGCTGGCTGGTTGTACTTTCACTAACATCCATTTTTCCGTCTGCCACCCTGTTACCACCTCCCTGCTCCCAACCTTCCCTCACCCTCGCGCCTCTACCCATCCACCTTTTCCACCATCCCTCTTATGACCATCCTTCGTTATATCATCCATCTTCCCCCGTCCCCTTTCTCCCACCCGCTTACACTCTGCCTCTTCCCCCTCCGTTCTTCTCTCTTGCCTCTTCTCTCCCCCTTCCTTCTACATTAACATCAAATGCAAATGCTGATCCCCTCACTTCCACCCTCCCAGCGCCCGTGCCATCTCTTCACCTTGCAAATCTCCTCCTTGAGAATCCCCATGGCGTCCCTCCTTTCACGCCACCCCTGCCCCTCCCCATACCCGCGACTGCGTCCCCTCGGTCCCGCCAACAGACATAAAAGTCAACCGAGGAGCAAACGCTGCGACACAGGTTCTGCTGTCGGGGAGTTCGGCGGGTGGGCAGGCGGTGATAATGCTGTGCGATCGCATGGCGGCTGCCTTCCCTGCTGCTGTCACCAAGTGCCTCTCTGACTCTGCCTTCATTACTGGTCAGCGTTCCTTTTTGCCTTGTGCAGGCGTTTCCCTTCTTCCTTTGAGCTGTTTACAAAGATTCAACACTTTCTGACAATCAATGCCCTGTACATGTTGGAATATACGCCCAGACCCCTTTGCGTTTAGCGTTTGCACGCTAGTGTATATACGTGAAACGCTAAACGCCCACTCAAACGCAATACGCAGCCAATTTTTTTTGGGGGGCCAGCCCGGGCGAAAAAATTGAGGATATGCAAAAAGATGCGGGGTAGAGTGGGGGTTGGAAAGGATCATGACGATGATGCCCCTGCTGTCCTGTGTATGTTCATGTTGGTAAGTTAATCTCTGGAAAAAATACCACCCGACTCACAAAGCCCATGAAATGCCCCTCCAAAACCAAACCAGAAACTTTTTCCCCCCTGCCCGTGGTTTTTTTTGCCTGCCGGGAAAATCGTATCCCCTATCTGAGGTTTGAGGTTTCAAACGCGTATATTCCAGGCATGTGTGTAATGCCTTGGTGCTCTCTACCGCACTTCCTAACAATGTAATGCTTGGCAGATGCCAAGGATAGATGGGGAAAGCGTCATGCGCGGCAGTATGTGAAAGCAGTTGCAACGACACACAACATTAAAATCCCTAACTGCTACACAGGTGCTGGGCCCTCACTTCTGAACTCACGTCTGCACAATGCACATAAGTGTCTCTCACTCGCGAAATTGGCCACCTTTTTGTCTCCTGATCTTATTCGCCATCGCAAGAGGCCCTGCTATCGTTCCCATGTCGCACATGCAACAGTCCCAGTTCTTGGATCTTCCATTGCCATGTGTTTACAAGTTCCATTGCGCACCAGTTTTTTTTAAGAACTTACAGCCAGCCATGTCTTCTTGGTCACCATTTTCCAATCTGATCCCATGCAGGAGGGAAGGTACAACGCAGTTGGATGTGCTTCTTCCCTCAATACGCCCTCAAATCCGTTTCCACGCCCATATTCCTCTACCAGTCGCTATTCGACAAGATACTGATCGCTTACGGTAACCAGTTACCTGGAGACACCAAGTATATGCGGATGTGTCTCCGCAACGAGATATTTGGCCAGCATCCAAACATCGCCACCATCGTTGAGTGGAGAGCGTGGGGTCGAGTGAACTGGACAAACTCATACTGTCGGCCTGAGGAGCGGCATGCACTGTTGGATATGGCATCCATTACCTACAGCCAGCTCAAGAAAGTTACCAAAGCGAGGAGAAATGTCGGGGTTTACTTGGTCACCTCGGTTGTTCATACTTTACTGGCATTGAACGGATGGGGAGCACTCACAGTTAAGGGTATGCGACTGAGAGCAGTCTTCACAAACTGGTTCTTTGACTGGAGCAAGCAGAATGTATTCATATATGATTAATTTAGTCCACGGAAGTTGCTGAGTACCTTTACTTGTTCTGTGCATGACAACCATTCCACTGAAGCCCAAATCCGTAGCAAAGAGAAGAGAGTTCCAGGAGGAACAATTCGTGTTCAGTTTTTCAGTGTACAGCACCAAACCATGTTTCGAAGGGTAAGGTACCGTATCAGTGCACGTTCATCCTTCTTTCAGTCTGTGTGGTTCCTCTTGTTTGGCAATGTATTGAAAGAAAACGTGCTGGACCCGCCCTCTGTTTTAAGAAGCACCCCAGACCCAGTGTGTGGTCTGCTATTGTCATAGCATCGTAGCAGTCAGTTGCAGTCTCTGCAATTCTCTCGTGTTACGTAAACGGGCGGATCTTGCTGAATGGCTGAATTCCCCCTGATTTTTATATTCTTTTGATGAATCAATGGACACTAAGAAATTCACAGGAGGAAGAGCAACAGGAGTATTCCAAATGCTTCTCCAAATTCCGTTGTGTGTGATTGAACTGCATTATAGTTACGTATCACTATGACAACGGTATCGGAGATGCGCAAATGATGCTACAAACAACGAGATTCGCATGTTTCGGACAGTCAACACGAACACGAGATCTGACCGTCAACACGAAGGCGTTGTTCTGCAGGCAGGTGGCATTGGCATGGCAGCGGCATCAATTTCTGCCGCCAGAAACTTCCCCTGGCGCTCGAAGCACTTTCCCTGTTTGGGAAATTTCGCATTTCGGCTGAGGAAAGCGGGTGCCCGTGAAGTGAGACTTCCGCCCCCTGTTGCAACAATTTCGTCACGGGCTGTGTAGAAATTTTAGCAGCAAGTTGTGCCATGGTTGGGTAAAAAGCGATCGGAAAACGAAAAGCCAACCGGTCCCCACAAACCTCTGATTTGGGTTTCGAACCTCTGGTTACAAGGGTGCCTTTGGTGGCTGTTTTCTTTTCAGCAAGGCGTGTTCGCGGTTGTCCCAACTGGCCGATGCCTCTGCCATCTCGTGGCAAACCACCTCTCTGGGGTGGTTTGCCACGGGGTGGCATAGGCACCACAAAATGCCCGAGAGGGAAAGCGCCGTGAGGTTTCGAACCCAGCTGATGCCGTCGCCAGAAGGCATGTTCTGCAGCCAACGCCACTCTGCCGGCATCAACAGAGATGAAACAATTTTTTGGGCTGCCCCCCAAAATGTCAACGCTTTGGCAGCATCGTGGCACGTTCCTCCAACGGCATCGAGTGCCTGCAGAACAGCGCCGAAGCAGGCTTGCTCAAGAGGTGAGCAGCAGCACTCACACTTCCCGCGCTTTCCGCAGCTTTGTGAGTTTCCACGATTTGCACAACCCTAGTAAATCAAATTCGGCCCGAGACTACACATACTTTCCACTATACAGCCACAACGCACTCGACCTTGAGATCACAAACTTGAAAACGAAATGGCGACGGCAACAGCACCGCGGGACATGGAGCTGCGGCTGGTGAACGGCATGGTGCTGAAGGTGCAGCTGGCGGAGATGGCGGGCGGCGTGGGGGAGCGCGTGGCGGCGTTGGAGGCGAAGCTGAGGGAGCAGGGCGACGCCATGGCTGCCATGCAGCGCGACATGGCCGACATGCGCCGCGCCATGGCCCTCCTCAAGGGCATGGCGGCGACGGGGGCTTCGGCGGAAAAGAGTGAGGGGGAGGGTGCGGGAAAAGGGAGTGCGTCGGGGGAGGCAGCGGAGGGTGTTGGCACGCGGCGGATCAACGCTTTTGCTGCGCTGGAAGTGGAGGAGGTGAAGGCGCAGGTGGAAGCGACGAGGGGAGAGGCGCGGGAGATGCGCGGGGAGATGGGCACGCTGAAGGCGGAGCTTGCGCGGATGAGGGCTGCGGCGGAGCGGCAGGCGGCGGAGGTGGCGTACGTGAAGGCGACGGCGGCGCACTCGGAGGCGCGCATCAACGACGCCGAGCTGGCGCTCGCCGCCATCAAGGACCATGTGGGGGCGGAGAGTCGCGAGGCGAAGAGGCGGAAGAGGGACGAGGCGTGCAAGCAGGAGGAGATGGAATACACTCCTGCGGGGGCTGGGATTGGGCTTGTTGCCGTTGGCGGTGCGCCTGGAGGAAGCCGTGTTGAGGCGAAACGGGCGGGCAAAGCAAAGGATGAAGGGAGTAGCGCGGCGGCGGCAGATAATGAGCTGCGGGGGCTGAGGGCGCGAGTGGAAGCGCTGGAGAAAACGAGCGAAGGAGGAAGCAAGACGTGGGAGGTGAGTGCGCGGATGGTGTGGACGTTGGATGTGGTGCCACTAGCATGTGGATTTTGGAATTTGCATGGATCGTATGGGATGTCCAACTGTTGGTAGACTCGGATACAACGCTATTCTCTGGTCTGCACAATTTGAACCTCTCCTGTGCGTGATAGATGCTGTTTTGTCCCCATCTCACACTACACATGTTGTTCCACTGAAAACGGGCCCTATTAGAACCACGTGATATTGAGACGCAAATTTTAACCAGGTCAGCCCAACCATTTCGAAAGTAAATCATGGAAGAGTGTAGCAGAGGTTGTAAACCCTCCCTTTCCTCCATCAATCACCAATCAGACAGCTCGTTTCGAACCGAGTGTTTCACACAAACATGCTGTGCGGAATTTGTCTCCCTGGCGTCAATAGGTCATGCTCATCCATATGTGTGTTTGCCTTGTTGCTGCTCGTGGCTGCACTGCAGGAACTGATCGGAGTCTGGACCAAGGTTTTTCCAGGCCGGTCGCGCATGGACCTGAGCGGCGTGTCCCTGCTCACAGACACCGCCCTCACTCGCCTCACCTCCATGCGCTCCCTCGCATGGCTCGACCTCAGCGGGGCCTCGGGGTTCACTGCAGTGGGACTGAGACACGTCTTCTCTCTCACCAGCCTGGGACTTCTGGATCTGACCGGTACAAAGACAACGGATGCGGCTCTTGAAGGCATCGACGGGCTCAAGAACCTTCACACGCTCGACCTTCGTAGCAACCTGGTCACAGACGTGGGAGTTCAGAAGCTGCTGGCAATGACTCAGCTCACGGACCTGAATGTTTCTGAGTGCCCTGGTGTCACCTCGGCCAGCATGGAGCATGTGGGCGAGTTGACAGCACTGACATCCCTCAGGCTGCACGACACTGGAGTGACGGAGGACGGGCTGCAGCACTTAAGTGCTCTCACCGCACTCAAGCTCTTCACGGTGCCTCCAGGGGTGACTGATTCCGGCATGAAGCTGCTGAGGAACATGAAGCGCCTGGAGAGGCTCGGGCTGTGGGATGCGAATGTCACTGTCGCTGGCCTCAAGTGGCTCAACGGGCTCAAGAGCCTTCAGGTGATTGCCACGGAAACTGAAGATGTTGAATGCCTCCTCAGGGACCACTTCCCTGGGATGATTGTCACACCTGGTCCACTTTGATACTCTGGGTGATATATGACTATTAGTTCCTATAGCTATATGCCTGGAATAACTAGCACTACCAGCCTTTCGGTCAGCCAGACTTGTTTGTCTGTATTTACCAAGTTCTACACGCAATACCAGAGTAGCATTCATTCTCCCAATGTGTACAATAATCCAGGCATTAACAGCTGCCAGGGCAAATGGGCTGATTTTGCAGTCTTTGGTTCATGCATGGGCTGATTTTCCATTCCGGCCTTTCTTTCAGAAAATACATACCTATATTGAAACGGAAACGAGGGTGCTGGTTTTTTTAGCGCGGACCTTGGAGGTGCTACCTCTGGAGGTGTTGGAGTTGGAGCTGTGAGTGTGCCTGGTCCTGGTGCTGGGGGTGCCGGAGTTGGAGCTGAGTCCGTGTCTGCACGAGGTTTTAGTCTTCGGGGAGCTGGTGTTAGTCGAGCTGTCCCTGGGGGTGCGGGTGCACCCTCTGCTGGACCTGGAGAGCCTGGGACTGACCCCGTTGCTGCTGGTGGTGCTGGCTCTGGGGTTGGTGCAACTGGTGCTTTGGAGAGCGGTCCTTGGGCCACCACCGCCCCGGACACTACTCCTCCACCCGACCCCTATCCGACCCGACACCAGGCCCTTTTTCATTGTGCACGTGAGGAACAGCTGGAGTTGAAGCGAGAGAGGCTAGCGTTGGAGCGGCAGCAGCTGGAGCTACAGTACCTGGAGGAGCAGCAGCTGGAGCTACAGCAGCTGGAGGAGCAGCAGCAGCAGCAGTAGCAGGAGCAGCAGCTGCCGCAGCAGGAGCAGCAGCAGCCGCCATAGGAGCAGCAGGAGCAGCAGCAGCAGCAGCAGCAGGAGCAACAGCAGCAGCAGCGGCCGCCTACGCCTCCTGAATCTAGCCTTTGGGCCCTTGGTCTCCCCTCCCCTTTTCTTCCCTCTTCCCCCACTCCTCCTGTATACGGTCCTACGTTTCCTCCTCCTGACTCCACCCCGGCTGTTTTCCCCCATTCTTAGCCTCCGTTATCCCCTCCTCTTTCTCATACTTGGACTTCTCGCTCTCCTCGTGCTCGTCCCTCGTCCCCTGTTCCCGTCACTGACCTTCGTACTGTCCTGTTTCGTTCTAGCCCCCCTCGCCCGTCTCCGTATGCGCTTCCTTCGCCCCCTGAGTCAGCCCTTACTACTTCCCTCTCTACTCATGTCGCTAACTATTACCACACGTACCGTCCTGTTCTCTCTCATTTTCTTGCCTCTCTTGTTACGTACCCTCTCCTATCCTCTGTCTCCGCCGTTACTGCCACTATCACCGAGTTCGCCACTACTCGCCGCCTTGACTACGCCACTCGTGTCGTGGCTGCTCCTCCTACCCGTCCTCTTGCGTCGGGGGTGAGTCTGCCCTTGGCTGTGACGCCCTAGAGGACAGGCAGTTTACGCTAGAGTTTCTGGTAGCCACTTGGCCTCATCTTTGTGCCATGTTGCTCACCCCTGAGGGAGACCCCGACGCCCTTGACATACCGGCTCCTCGCACTTGATGCAGTGTCAGGCCCTTAGGCCTCTCAGTGGAGAGCTGCCACGGACTTAGAGATGGCCTCCTACAGATCCACAGGCACCTACGTCGACGAGGTTCCCCTTCTGGAGGTTCCCCTTATGTGCGTAGCAGCACAGAGAGACTACGAGTTACACTCTCTCGACTTCTCCACTGCTTTCCTTCAGGGTAGCCTACACGAGGAGGTCTGGTTGCGTTGTCCCTCTGCCTTCACTGGCACTTTCTCTGATAGGTCCTAGTGGAGGCTTAGATGTCCGGTCTACAATCTCCGTCAGGCACCTCGTGAGTGGCACGACACTCTTCACCTTGTGAGTGGCTGTCTTTTGCCGACACGCCGCTGTTTGTTCGTCGCGACTCCACACATTTCTTTGTACAGGTCTACATCGATGACCTGCTATTTCCCACTGTTGACACGGTTGCTTTCACGGAGCTCAAGTCTGAAATGCAGAGGAGACACACGTGCACTGATCTTGGTGAGCTGCGCCACTACCTTGGCCTGCAGATCACCAGGGACAGAGCAGCTCGCACCATCACTCTGACCCAGTCACACATGGTGCAGCAGGTTCTTCAGCGGTTCGGGTTTCAGTTCTCCACTCCACAACCTACGCCTCTTGCCGTTGACCATAGACTCACTGTACCCTTCCTTGAGGAGCCGTTTGAGCCTAGTGGTCCTTACCTAGAGCTTGTGGGCTGCCTCATGTACCTGATGACTTGTACTCGCCCGAAACTCGCATTCCCTCTCAGCATCCTTCCCCGCGTTGTTGCGCCAGGGAGACACCGTCCTGTTCACTGGACAGATGTTGTGAGGGTGGCGAATTACCTAGCGACAACATCAGGCATAGGGTTGGTGCTTTGAGAGAGATAGCCTGTCGTGCTCACTGGCCACTAAGACTTTTCTTACGCCGACAACGCCGACACTCACAGGTCGACGCAGGGGTACTAATTCAGTCTAGGCTCTGGAGCTGTGTCATGGAGTTCTACTCGTTCCTCCTCTGTCTCGACCTCTTCTGCTGAGGCCGAGATATACGCTGGAGCCCTGGGTCCACAGGAGCTGCGTTGGTTGACCTTCTTTCTCACTGACCTTGGTGAGCGGCTGAGCTCTGCACCGACCTTGTTCACAGACAACAAGGCGATAATTCTCCTGTGTCAAAAGCCTCGACCAGAGAGCAGAGTGAAGCACATCAGCATCAAGTACTTTCTTCTTTGAAAGTTGCAGAGGCATGGATAGGCTCGTTTGAACTTCGTGGGCTCCGAGGCCAACACTGCAATCATCTTCAGCAAGGCTCTTCCGCCTAGTGAGCACCACAGGTTTCGTGTGAAATTAGGTCTCGTTGACACATGTTCTCGTCTTGTGTCAACTTGCGTTGTCTACTTGCTTTGTTTGTACACTTTACATATACCTCTGTGAACTCTTGGACTGGCCTTGTGGCCTCGTATTTGTGCACGGACTGTGTGGCGACGTTGTGATCCACCCTGAGCTTTGTTTCTTTGTGACTGGTCTTGTGACTGTACGGTTTGGTTGTTGCATGAAACCCCTCACTTAGGCTATAGGGGTGTGTCAAATGTCGTAGCCTGTTGTGAGGCATGTTACGTGGGGTACACATGTTGACAAATATCCAATCTAGACATCATCGTAGGGTGTTATCAAGGAGAAACGGGATAACCAACGACATATTGAATCAAGAGTACCTTTCAGAATAACTAGGCAAGAATGGATGAACTAGCAGAAGTTTGGGTACAAATATGAAACCCTAGTTGGGGTTGTACCCCATAATGGCTACCCCACTACAGCCTACAAGCATAATACAGTTTAACACACCCCCATAGGCAAAGTGGGGGAGAACAAAGGGTCACACGACCAGTCCAGCAAAGCAAAGCAAAGCCCAGGGTGGATCACAACGTCACCACACTCCGAGCACAAGTAAAGGCCACAAGGCCAGTTCACATGCAGTGCTAGATATAATACAAGACAAGCAACACAGTGATCAAAACCTAGCAAACAAGCAACAAGATATATATATAAAGTACAGTACAAAGAATGTCAAGCAGTGAGCAAGTGAGGAAACGTGGACACAAGGCCTAAAGAAGTACAGTGTCGCTGATGATCACTAGGCGGGAGCGCCTTGGTGAAGATATCAGCAGTGTTGGCCTTCGAGTCCACGTACACAAGCCGAAGCTGACCGCGCTGCTGAAGCTCTCGAGCAAGAAAGTAGCGAAGAGCAATGTGCTTCGTCCTGTGCTCCAGTCTGTGCTCCTGACACAAGGCAAGAGCCGCCTTGTTGTCACCGTACAGAACTGGAGGAGAACTAGGCCGCTCTCCCAAGTCAGTCAGCAGGTAGGTGAGCCAGCGTAACTCCTGTGCAGCCATGGCTGTGGCGTAGATCTCAGCCTCACAACTAGAGCCGAGAACAGAGGAAGAGCGGGTGGACCGCCACGAGACAGAACCAGAGCCAAGGCTGAAGGTGTAACCCTGTGACGACCGCTGCGTAGCCAGGTCGTCCACCCAAGAAGCGTCCGAGTGGCCAGTGAGGACAACTCTGTCGCGTCCTCCAAGCACCAGCCCCATGCCTGATGTACTGCACAAGTAGCGCAGCACCCTCTTAGCAGCCTCCCAGTGCTCTCGCCTGTGTCTCCCAGGCGCAACGTAACGAGCAAGGATGCTAAGAGGGTACGCGAGGTCAGGTCGCGTGCAAGTCATCAGGTACATGAGGCAGCCCACAAGCTCTGGGTACGGGCCACTCGGCTCTACGGACTCGTCCGGAGGTGGAGCTGAGAGCGAGTGGCTGGTAGCCAGAGGTGTGGCCTGTGGTGAGGAGAACTGGAAGCCGAAGCGCTGAAGGACCTGCTGCACCATGTGTGACTGAGTCAGGGTGATGGTGCGGCGAGCTCTGTCCCGGGTGATCTGCAAGCCAAGGTAGCTACGCAGCTCACCCAGGTCAGTGCAGGTGTGTCTCTTCTGCAGCTCCGACTTCACACGAGCGAGTGCCTCAGTGTCAGCAGTAGCAAAGACCAAGTCGTCGACGTACACAAGAATGTAGAACGGCGGCAGCGACGTGTCTGTGCGCAGAAACAGCGACGGGTCAGCAGTAGACGGCGCGAACCCAAGAGCCGCAAGTGTAGTCCTCAGTGTGTCGTGCCACTCGCGTGGCGCCTGGCGGAGACCGTAGACTGGCCGGCGGAGGCTCCACTGGGTACCAGGAGGAAACGACCCAGTAAAGCCAGGTGGGCGGCGCAGCCAGATCTCCTCGTGCAGGCTGCCCTGCAGAAACGCTGTGCTGAAGTCAAGAGAGTGAAGCTCGTAGTCACGCTGAGCAGCAACGTGCAGCAGAACCCGAAGAGTGGTCATCTTCGGGGTGGGGGAGAAGGTCTGGAAGAAGTCGACCCCCTGACGCTGACTGAAGCCTCTAGCAACGTAACGAGCCTTGAAGACAGGCGGAGAACCTGGCGGCCGCTTCACCCTGAAAATCCACAT